AGTATGATTGGGGATTCCTAATGCAGCTGCCTTGGGATTGCTTGCTGGATCTAACGCTCAATCTGGTTTAATTATAATGCCACTAATTCAAATGGGTCTAAATGCTGAACTGCCATCAGAGGATTAGGATTGATTAAAAATCAAGTTTAAGGTTTTAAAAAGTATTAAAAATTCTTTGCAGATTTAAAGAAAAATGCATTCAATTTTCCCTAATTTTAAGTAAACTCTTGGATAATATTGTTTAAAAAAATAGTTGTTGTGTATCATGAGGTACTAGACATTGGCTTCAGGAACCTTGTTTCTGAATTGACGTTGCAGCCTTTTTCTCTCATCCCCTGATGGTTGTGCAATATAAAACATTGGGTTCCATTTATCATATACTTCAAAGGAGGAAGTAATGATAAGAATACCACTCTCATGGGTGGATCCAGCATTTCACTGAGAGGTGATCTGATCGGCACCATTTACTACTGCAGCAAAATGTTAAATTATTAATAAAAAGTTAAAACATTTTAAAATTGTCAAAAAAGAGAGTGAAATGTTAAAATAATATCTATTTCAAGTCTTAAAAATGTAAGGTATAGATACATATACACAAAGTATTTACTGAACGTGTTCACAGCAGATTGACAGTGAGAAGAAAAATAACCTACCTGGGTGTTTTCTAATCAATGTATCTACAACTTGATCAATATCTATATTCAAATAATATTTCCCATATATTTGAATTTCTTATCCAGATATCGATCTGTTATGATGCTGGTATCCTCATGCTGGCACTATTAGTCAGTGAGAATATTTAAAAATTAAACTAAAAAATCCCTCTGTGCCTCTCTGTATCCATTAGGGCCTCTGACTGCCCTTGTCACTCCCTGACAGAGACAGATGGAGGCTCTGATGGATAAAGCAATTTTTAAAATTTAAATAAGAAAAATGCTAAAGGTGAGGCCTTTATTGCTATGCTTCCATTTAAACATGATAGTCTTGGGAGGGTGGGAGGAAACTCGGGTGGAGTATAAACACTTGCACGGACTAATTGGGCCACATGGTCTGTTTCCGTGCTGTACAATCTATGTAAATGTTACTGAAAAACTAATTACATTCCCAGTTTCTTAACAGCCTCAAAAATGCTAGGATTTGTGTTGCTAACAAAGTGGTCTCTTAAACTTTTTGGGTGGATCCAGACTTTAGCGAAGACCGATTAAGTTGATTAACAACATCAGACAGTATTCAACTGTACATTTTGCATTGATTTGGCAGAGTATCAATCCAATATTAGAATTTCTTATGTTCCTATTGCTGTCCAAGTGTAGTAGAACGATCATGAAACAGAGGTTGGACTATACATGATTTGGTTGGTAGCACTCATTTCTGTGTCTAAAGATTGTGAGTTTGAGCCCCCACACCATCTTATAACTGTTTGTGAGATTTTAGAATAGCTTCGCTCCTGCACTTGCTAGCAAAACAACTGTCATTGCACTTTAAAACAGCATAGTACCGTGAAGCATTTTGACGTGAAAAGGTACTTTATTTGAATACAACCTTCCGACCTGCTTCCTCCCCACTCCACTACCCACCTCGCTCGGCTGGCTCTGACCTCTTGTATGTACTCTACCATCAGCGGCTATGCTTTCAGCCACTGTGCCCTAAACCTGTGGAACTCTCCCTCAATCCATCCTCCTTCCCTGTCTTCAGATCACACCTGAAGAACGTCCTCTTCAACCACGCCTACGGTCACCTCTAACCGATTTTGTGTCAAGCTCTGCCACGGTTAAGAGCTCTGAGACACTACCCTGTGGAAGGGAAATATTTAAATACGCGTTGTTGTCGTTGAGTTAATTGTGATGGAGCCTAATTCTTCCCTGACGTGGCATTAGATTAGGCCAACCTAATCTCTGAATTTCATCACTGGATCTTGTCTCATCATTGCTGCCAACAACAACTGCTGACTTCACCCATGTAACAACATTCACTTCATTATATTTTGTAAACTAGTTTAACAAGAAAAGTACTAGGTAAATCTACAAATGTAAATTGTTGCTGAGTTTAGCAACACAGATCTGCATCATTAATAATACTTATAGTAATTCTTGCATTTGTTATAGCATCTTTCAGGTCGGGAAATTATCTTAAAGTGCTTCACGAGATTTGTGTAAAATAACAGGATTTGCTCTATTTTGTGAGCAAATAGGCAACCGCATGGCACTTAGCAATTTTTCACAAACGGTCATGAAATGAATTAGCAATATTTTGCCTGTGAGATTGCTGGGAGAAACTCCCTTATCATTTCCAAGGAAGCCACAGGTTCATTTACATTCAACTGAACAGGCAGAAATGACCTTCATTTAACACCTCATCAAACGCAAGGCACTTCCAACAATGCAGCGTTTCTTATAGCACTGAACTGGCATGTCAGCCTAGACTGTGAGTTCTGACGGGCTTGAACATCATCTCTAATGTAATCTTAAAGATGGAGTTGCACATAACTGAAATCTACTTCATTAGTTGAGAGCTAATAAAAAGAGTAAGGCTAAAACAATAATAAAACAAATTCTGTAGTGCTCTTGTTATTTTATTTATAAATTCCGATAAAATACTGCAAAAGATTCGCAGTTATAAAGTGTGATGACATTTTTCTCAAAGCTAGATCTGCTGAGATATTGAATTTTATCGTTTGAAATTGTGAATGATAGCTTCATTAGCAATGGGAAAAGGTACGCGGTCTCTTCGTGTCATCAGCTTTTGCCAATGTGCTTTAAAACCAAAACAAGTGATTTCTTGCCTCTATGTCTATCTTGTAAGTGTAATGGGTACATATTCAGCGACTGGCGGACATGCTTCTACAGGAATTAGGCTCCATCTGCTGGTCAGTCTTTACACTGCAACCTAGGAACGTAAGAACACCTATGTTTAAAATGCTATAGGCCCATCTGTCCCACTATTTCCATTGAGCACAATAATAAGGTACTTAGTTGGTTATGAAACCTTATAACATCAGTGGTCAGTGTGCGTTTAACCTCCTGAGAAAAAGTTCTGCATTGTCTGATTCTAACATTTCTTTCATCAAGCTAAAGTAGAGAATATTCATTCATCCCCACACCTCCCCTATTCAATTCTGGGCAGCTGACCTCCAAACACTTCTCTTATCTCCCCCTAAACACACATGCCACACACCACTCATACAGCCCAGGAACTATTAGGCCCTATTGTTTATTTTTGTTGACCCCATCTCCAATCTCATTCCAAAATAGATATTTATTTACTCAATTCCTTATTGAATAATAAGGATAGTTGGCAGCTTCAATAATCTTTTGTGGGAATCCACTCCATCATGGGAATTTTATATTAAAAAAAATCTTTTGGCATGTTTGGCCATTGTTAATTTTCAGCCTATTACTTTTAATTCTACACTTGCAGTCAGTCAGATAGCTTGCTTCTGTCTATGTCAATTATGCTTGTTGGTAGTTTGAAGTCCGGACCTGCATCATTATCACATTTGTACTATTGTCAACAGTTTATAAACCTTTATCAAAACTTGTTTTTAAATTTACATAAAAGGTCAATGTTTGCTAGCATCTGAAAATTGTTTGAATTTTATGCATTTTATAGAGTGAATTGTTTTGATCAGATATTTAATAATAATAATCCTTGCATTTGATATAGTGCCTCATCGTGTCTTCGAGGTACTTCACAGAATATACTGTAAAGTGAATTGACTGTATATTTTTTATGGGTGAAATGTGGCAGCCAATTGCGCACAGCAGTGTCACACAAACAGAGACCAATTTATTATTATTTTTTTGGAAGGAATTATTACCCCTGGAAAAGCGATCCGCTAATCTACTAACAACCTACTTATTGCTAGGTAAACTGAGGCGTGTGGAGTAAGGAAACTTGCCCAACATTTCGCCCTGCCAGGAATCGAACCCAGGTCTCTCGTTTGCGAGGCGAGTGCTCTAACCACTGAGCTACAGGACTCCATGTTTAATAATAAAAAATGGCAAAATTCTTAAATATTTGGCAAAAATGCTAAATATTGTAGTATGGCAAAAAAGCAGGGTGGCTGTCTTGGTGAAGATTGTGAATATGAAACCGAATGGAGACAAGAGGAAGAAACATATCCTCATTACCCTCAGAAAAAAATATTGTGAGAGAGACAAGAGCATAATTTTTGGCAGGTTATGCAGAACTCAATCACTGCATCGAGATGTAGATGAAAGTGGACAGAAGCAGACTGTTTTCGGACCTGAGAAATCCACTCTACTGTAATCCATTTAGAAATTTAGACTAAAATGTTGCCCATCCACTTTTACTTTACAACTGTTGATTGACATCTACATTCTAGTACCTTCGCCTGGGTAAATGCATCTGATCTGTGCTGGTAGAAATAAATGGGAATGATGGCTGGAAAACATGGAAGAGTGGGAATGCTCAAGGGAATTCAGCCCTTCTTGTCTGTGTTCTACAAGTCTATGCACATGCAGTGATGGAATATTATTCAAATATTGCTTACAAATTGCTAGAGAAAATTAATCTCTTGCTCCTGTATTTGGTGCAGGCTAAAACTACTAGGTTTGGTGATGGAGATGAGAATGTCCAAACTCATGCCAGAGCCTATACTCTCTCTATAATATCAAAGATGAGCTCAAAAATCCTATGCAAAATTATTATTATAGCGGAGGACGGACAATATACTCCTTGAGCCATTCGAGTAACTGTAGAGAGTCATAATTTATAACTGAGAACAATTTAACAATGGATTTATCGAATAAAAACTTATCCAAGTACAGGGAATTCTTATTAATTTGAGACTTTCATAAAGAAACTGGATAGATTCCCAGTTGGCCAGGAAACGGAGAAATACGAGTTTGACATTGATTAAAGTAAGATGCGATTGGGTCCAGAATATAGAGCTAACTGATGTGAATGGCTGAATAGCCTCTAGTTGTTTTGTTGCTATGGTACATTTTTTCATGAAGGTTTTCTCCTCTTGCCTGCAGTACACAACTGGACAGTAGACGAAACGGTGAACTGGTTAATCTACTTCGTAGAGCTGCCACAGTATGCCAAGAATTTCCAGGAAAGCAATATCCGAGGAGTTGGCTTGCCCAGGTTAGTGATAACAAATGGGTCACTTGTTGCCATTTCCTGCAAATTAATACTCTAAATGGCAATGTTCTTGAAGCTGAAAAAAATAACATGGAGTCATTTGCAGCAACCAGTTAATTCCACAAGATTATGCCAATGTTTATATGAAGAAAATCAATATATGACCGGTATTTTCTTTAGCACCTGATGTCTTTTTCATTGTGTCAGCCTGGATCAGTTGATAGAACTCTCACCTCTGAGTTAGAAGACTGTAGGTTGAAGCCACATTTACAGATTCAACATTTTTAGAGTCCTGTAGAGTATTGGTTAGAGCACTCGCCTCGCAAGTGAGAGGACCCAGGTTCAATTTCCAGGTGGGACGAAACCTTAAGCAAGTTTCCTTACTCCACACACCTGTTTATCGAGCAAGTAAGAACCCGGTTGTTGGTCGATTGTTGGATCGCTCAACAGGGGTAATAATCCCTTCCGCCCCAAAAAGCAAAAAAAATGGACTCACTTCACGTCTGTTTGTGGGACACTACTGTATGCAATTATCTGCTGCGTTTCGCCGACAAAATCCACTTTACAATATATTCTGTGAAGCGCTTTGAGATGTTTTAATAATAATATATTATTAATGACGTGATAAGGCAAGGGTTATTATATATTATATTACTTTGTACTCAATGGCCCTTGCATAAAACCCAGAATCTTGTTTGCCTTTTAATGACTTCTCTACCTGCAATCCCACTTTAACAATCTATGCATTTGTATCCCAAATCCCTCTGTTCCTCCACATCATTAAGAATCCTACCACCCACGGGATACTATAATTCCACTTCCTGTTTTTTNATCTCAAAATGGAGCACTTCACATTCTTCAGAAATGTGCAAACCTCTCAGTATCTCCCCATAGCTTCCTAAGCTCTTTGTTATTGTTAACAACATCTCCTAATTAAGTATCACTCGCTACGAAATTTGCCAATCTTGGCGATTTGAGCTTTTAATGGGGTCTGATAGAAGATGTCGTAAACACAATACGTAATGATCCGTAACAATAACTGAATATGTAGATATAGGAACCTGCTGTACTGCAGTCTGGTCTGACGTGAATCAGCTGACGTTTTCTAGGAATTCTATTATTTTTTAAAGGCAGTTTTTGATGTCGGGGGCTTAGATTACAAGTGCAGACAGAAAACCTTGCCATTCTTGATGTTTACAGCCAGGCAATTTAATTGAACTGATCAATGATCTCATTGCTGTGCTTATTCCCTTCATTCCTTGGCACCTCCCTACCTATCCGACCTGCTTACTCCCTACTCCACCACCCATCGTCTCCGCTTGGCTGGCTCCGGCCTCCTGCTTATCCGTCATTCCCTCCGCTCCACCATCGGCTTCTTGCTTTCAGCCACTACGTGCCAAAACTCTGGAACTCTCCCTCACTTCCTCCATCTTGCCCCCTCCCTCCCATTTTCAGATTATGCCTGAAGACCTTCCTCTTGACCGTGCTTATGGTCACCTCCTCCCGGCTTGTTGTCAGGCTCCGCCATTGTTAAGCGTTCTGAGATGCTGCCCCACGTGAAAATTCTTGTTGTCCTCTTTTTGCTGTTAAAACTGCTACATTCCTGAGCTATTTGTATCTGTCTTATAGGATAGCTGTGAATGAGATTTCTTTAATGATTTCAAATCTGAAAATCACCGATCGGAGTCACAGACAGAAGCTTCAACTGAAGGCATTGGATGCTGTGCTGTTTGGGCCTCCAACACGTTAGTATAAGCTTTGGCTGCTTGTTATTTCCAGCATAAAGTTCTTGCTTATAATTTTGCAATTAAGCATTTGGCTTCTTTGACATCTCTGGTTGGCAGTATGCTTAGATCCACGTTTGTTACCAGATACCTAAAATTTCTCATTATCTTAGCATTGAGGCCATTTAAGTTTTAAAATCATGCAGAATTTTGCAATATCCTCAAATTCAGCCTTAATTTTGAAGCTGCTTTTTCCACCGTTCTTGAAATGACCAGATTCAAAGTAAGACTGAATGTTTTCAAAATTCTGCACGATCTTAAATTTTGGTCATTAAAAAGAAAAAACAGCTCAGCGCAATGTTGTGGGATTAATCCTAGAATTTATATCTACAATTTGAAAAACACGGCAAGCTGTCTAGACTTTAGGTGTAACATCATAACATGACTCTTCTCTTCTATTCATCCCCAGCCCATAAGAAAATTAAAGACAGACTTTAAAATGATTACAAAAATCTTACATTTAATTTTAAGACAATAGTCTCAAGACTTCAGGCTGCAGATGCTGAACATCTATAGAACCGAGGTGCTTGCGAGAAAGTCTGGTTACCTGTGTAGGAGTTTTGCTGTCACCGCTCTTACCTTGATCACAATTTGATTATGACGCAAAAAGGCACCGTTCTGACTGTCAGGATAAGTGTTTAGCCATTAGGTGGCACTGTTGTAACACGGTTAATAATACTATTGCATTACTTGAACCCTTGTGAGTGAATATATCAGAGGTTTATATGAAGAAGACTCTTGAGTTAATTTGATCTCATCCTTTTAGAACACCAATCCTACTGTGTTCTCATTACAGTACTGATGTGTTTCTTAAACTAATTCAATGTCCAAGCCACAAACATCCTTTCCTCTCAGCATGTTCTAGATATTGGTTCCTCTGTAAATAATTATTTCCTGATGTCTGACCTAAAGGTTGCTAGAATCTGTGCCTTCTTATCTTGTACTTTGAATACCAAAGTATTGTCGTAGCTTACAAACTCTCTCATACTGAATCTTGTGCACCTCTGCAATTGTGCCATTAACACACAAGGCAACTTTCTATCTCCCTGGTTTGTTATAATTGTTTTTGCTATAATTGGTAACGATTTCAACTGATGGAACTATTCAGAAAATGCACAATACCGAGAAATGAAAACCAATAAACCTATAATTTGTACAAATGATGCTGTCGTTCGTGAGATTTCAGAAAGACCATAGTTTTATTGTTACGGCATATTCAAGTTACAATTATCATGTTATTTTCTGCAAAATGATTGAAAATCATTCCCATTTTACTTACTAAGTAAATTGTCAGGGCTGCACCCTCTCGTTCATATTCATAAAAGTAACGAGCTCCAGTAAAAATTGCTAGAAACTCAGACATTATTGAAGATGGATTTGTTTAAAACAATAAAACAGGATTATGCCTCATTACAGTTCTGTCAATGGGATGTGATGAATTGATTGTGCGTGTCTGATTCCTTACTGCTGTAAACAATAGAGATTAATAAATCTTTCTGTTTTGATCAGGATGGCATAAATCGCAAACCATAAATTGCAATGGTGCTAATTCTGCTACCACTATCTTTTCAGTTATAATTGGATCAACAGCAATTATTGGACCAAACTTTTCTGTTTATCTATAGCTAAACATTGCAGTCTGACGAGAAAATGCCAGTTGAATCACTAGCTAAGAGACACACTAATACATACTTTATGTTGCACCTAATTATGTGGCTCAAAAACTAATGTGTTTGAAAAGATCATAGAAATTTCAGCGCAGAAATTCTTTAACCAGTCATGCCTCGCTATGCTAGCTCCCACTGGAGCTATATACTCCCAATACAATTTTCCTGCTCTGCCTCCATACATTTTATATTTTGATGCTTCACTGTTTATCTAATTTCCTTTTAAATTATGTCACTGATTGGCTTCAGTACCTACTGGTGATGACGTGCTCAAAATGCTAATAAACCCTTAATATCACAAATTCTTTCTGTCAATTATCCTTCAATAAATGGGGCTCTATAATGTTTTACATGTAAATGTAGCTGCATAGCTAGGTGTCAGCTTAGCTCAGTTGGTAGCACTTTAGCCTTTTGAGTTAGAAGGCTGTGGGTTCAAGCCACGTGTTGTGACTGATGCTCGCTCAGATAAAATTGGTCACTCATTTCATAGCTGTTTGCAGAATGTTATTCCACTGAATACTGAATTTGTATTTTCTAAATAAATTAAATTTTGTATGACAGCAATGTTGTAAGCTGCTTCTCCATAATGCTTCCTGACAAATCCCTCAGGATGTTAGAAATTGCATGTAAATCTGTAGTAAGAGTTTGAACAGTGAATTCAAAAGCAGAAGAAACACAACAAAATTATATTTTAGCAAAAATATTCAACTTATGAAGTTGGAATTTACTTTACAGGTCCCCCTCACAACTGGTTGAAGGACTTTATTCTGACGGTTTCAATGGTAGTTGGAATTGGTGGCTGTTGGTTTGCATACAGGCAAAACAGGAACTCAAAAGAACATGTTACAAAGATGATGAAAGAGCTGGACAGTCTGCACACAGCAGAGGAAAGTCTCATGGAATTGCAAGAGAGGTAAGATCGAAAAGGATGGATCAACAAAATCCAAACCAACTTTTCAGGATTCCCTTATAAACTTAAAAATGCAATTCATTTGGTATATCAATTTTCTTTTTTTTGCCAAACACAAATGTTGACAAATACTACAATATTTAACTATTAGGCGCTATATCAAAATAAAAGATTATTATTTGTATTATTATAATGGATCTGTAGTTGCCCGATATAATTCTGACAACTTTTTTGAACATAGGATTCTTCTGGTGTATATTTTCAGAGGTGATTAACTCTCTCATAATGTCAATGCCTTGACTTTCTAAGTACCCAGCAATGCAGCCCATCTATTTCTGGACATTTGTTTTTTCTTTTAAAAATATCAATGAATTGCACCTTAATGTTGAATATCAATGTTATTCCAACCATTTGCCAAGCCTATTGTATGGCAGTGTCAAAGATTGTAACAAATGAGCAGAGCTGACTCTGCTTAGCTTGGCACAGGTTTGTGGCCTTGAATCACAACTAGAACGACTGTGGTGTGGACTACATTGAACTGAAATGCAATTTATCCATTGTAAAACAATTGCATGTTATGTTTTTTTGTGTGTTGGGTCTCACAAAGACTTCAAAAAGCTCAAGAAGAAAACAGAACTGTGGAGGTGGAGAAACAAAACCTAGAACAGAAAATGAAAACTGAAATAAATGATGCCAAACGAGAGGCACAGCGTCTGAGAGAGTTAAGAGAAGGATCAGAGACTGAGCTCAGCCGCTTGAAATATGCAGAACAGGAGCTTGTGCAGGTGAAAAAATCTCAATAAATAATGCTGTTAAGTATCAGATCTCACAATACTTCAAAACCACATGAGTTGAGCTGACTGAAAAGATTTGAATATATATGAGTTTATTTAGTAAAGGCAGTCAATAACTAATTAAGTCATAAAGAGATATGGATAAAGAAGGCTGTTTGACCTTTTTGATCTCAGCCTTTCAGAATACCCATCCTACCAGCAACAACCAGCAATTTCTTAAACAAGTCCACGATTCTGGCCTCAACAGCCCTTCCTGCTAACCCATCCAGTCATTAATTATCCATTAGATAAAGAAATACTCCTGTGTTTTTTTTCCAGAAACTGTCCTTTGCTACTCCTGTGCCTATTCTTCTGCTGTCTTTGGTATATTTGAAAGTATTGTTCTGAGTTTACTCTCTCAATTTGATATAAAAATCTTATATGCCTCTATAAAGTCCCCTCCGATATGATTCTTTTCAAAGCTGAAAAGCCCTCACTTGTTTAATCATTGCACCTAACTCATTGCTCGAACTTTGCACAGCCTCTAGGCCCTGGGCAGTGTCCTTTTGTCATGATTACTTGAACTGTACATAACATTGCAAGTGTGGCCTAATCCAAGCACTGCACAGCTCGAGAACAACTTCTGGGGATCTCAGCTCAACCGATTTGTCAATGTAGTCCTGCATTCTATTTGCCTTATTTCTTGCTGCTTCACACTATTTTGACATGGTGATTGATGAGTCAACTTACATCCTTAATTTATAACCCTTGGGTTTCTTTCATCTTCCCTCTTTGCAAGTTTTATCCCATCAGTGGAGGATGTGTGCCTCCTATTTTTCCTTCCTATATGTAGCTCTTTGCATTTATCTGTATTGAACCTCATTTGCCAGACATCAATCTATGTGCATGCCCCACTAAGCACTTTTTGTAATTTATTTGCTGTCTATTTTGATTCTACAGTTCTACCCAATTTTGTCACCTTCCACTGAGTCTGTGTATCCAGGTCACTAATGCATTATAAGGAAGAAAACGGTTCCCAGTATGGTGCTTTGAGGCACCTCAATTAATATGCCCACGCCCCCCTATTTTGACCTAGCTCCCCTAAAATCCCCGGGCTCATGGATCCCAAAGTCAATTTAGGTGTCACTTCCTTAAAAAGCCTATGAAGTTGGTCAACCACCCCTGGCTATCATTAGGCTTTTTATACAAGTAATCTTCCATTTCTAATGATTGACTCCATTTGTTCTTTATTTATGGAGGTCAGACTAATAATCTCTTCAAAGAAAAAATAAATAAATATTTGGTCACTCACTCCATGACAGTTCATGGGACACTGCTGTGTGCAATTGGCTGCTGCGTTTCGCCCACAAATTCACTTTACAGCATATTCTGTGAGCGCTTTGAGATGTTTCAACGATGTGATAAGGCATTATATCAACTGCAAGGATTATTATTTTTATTATTATAATGTATTTGTAGTTGCCAGATATGGTTCTGACACCTTTCTTGAATATAGGATGCTTTCTGGCAATATGAACCTAATCAGTGGTGATTAACTCTCTCATTGAACATATTCAAGACTGAGATAGTTATATTTCTTATTGCAAAAGGGATTAAGGGATATGGGGATAAGGCAAGGTTATGGTATTAGTTAGATTAGCAGATCAGCCATGATTGAATAGCGGGCAGGCTCGAAGGGCCGAATGGCCTACCGCCGCTCCTACATGTTATGTTATATGTTATAGTGCTTGTTTCGTGCTTTGCAAATCTCCTGCCTTGTCTTTCCAAGTACCCAGAGGTGCAGTTCATCTATCCCCAGGCATTTGTTGGTTTTCAGCCCAATGAGCCTATTAGCACATCAGTCCCATTTTGTCAAAATCCTGGAGTTCAAGTAATGTTTGCTGGATATTGGGCACAGATTATTGATGTAAAAACCTCAGGAAGTAGTTGTTCAATATGTGTGTTATCTCCTATTCATTCCGTTTTATTAGTCTTCCTTGACTATCCTCTTACTGCTGTAATATTGGAAGATATTTTTGGCTTTGTGTTATTATGCATGTGTTCCTCTTTCTAGTGCTCTCTTGGCTCCCGGAATCTCTCTCTTTGTTTTTACTTCTTTCTGATTGCCCTCACTCCATAAAAGCTTTGTAAGATTTCCTTTTTTGGGCTAAGATGCTTTGCCATGTAGTGTTTGAAATGGGTATCGTGTCTGTCAGCAAAAGTGGACCCTACGCTTAACAGTATATGTTTTAAAGCACTCTAAGACATTATGATGGAAACAGGTGCCTTAAAAATATATATTCTTTCTTCGAATGACATGTATGGTGCTTTGCTTTGCAAATGAGGTTATGTTAAAAGTTAACTTATGTTTACTCAGCGTTTAAAAGGGAAACTCAACTCTTTATAAAATAAAAATTCAGCAAACACCCAAACTACAAACTTATTATCTTCCAAAATAGGTAATATTTCAATAGAACTTTATTTTCAGGCAACATTGGCTGAATCAGATATCACCCAACGAGTCAGGCAGGTTACTGTTTACTTGGCAGAAAATAGACAATTTCTTTCCATCACTGAACTTTTCTGCTTTGCAAGAATATATACTATACTCAACAATTTGCTCGTGATTTGAATTTTTCACCTGGTGCTCTGAATTGTGCACTATTTCATAATGTTGCATCTACCCATTGCCCCCAGAGTGTAGACTCGCTTTGCTTACTATATGTTTGCACACTGACTTAATTCTGAACATGTTTTCCAGTAATAATAGTCCTAAATAGGACACATTATACAAAGTACGTATTGCAGCAGTATTTAGCAACCCAGCACTCTAGATAATGTAGGCCACTTGGGACCACTTTTACTGTGGAAGTAGGTTCACAATTAATTCTCCAGGCAGTGAAAAAGAAGGTAAAAATGTTGACACTCATAGATATAAATGACAAAGCTGTAAGGTGGCTTTTTCTGAAATGCCACTACATGCCGTTCTAAATTCAATACCGATCATAAGAGAAAGTCAGATGAAGAAGGCTCTTCAATCCATTCGCTTTCATCTTTCCAGAACACCAATTATGTTTCCCAATTACTTTGATTAAGCTGTTTCTTAAATGGGTCCAGTGACCTGTTTTTACCATTCTTCCTGGTAACCTGTTCCAGCCATTAATTACCCTTTGTATAAAAGAATACTTCCTGATGTTTGTCCTAAAACTACCATCCACAACCCCGAACTTGTGTGATCTTGTCTTATCAGTTTAGATTGTGTGACGGCCTGGTACATTGGTGGCACTCTCACCTCTGAGTCAGAAGGTTGTGGGTTCAAGCCCCACTTCAGGAATCACATAGTATAAGCTGACACTCTGGTGCAATGCTGAGGGTGTGCTGCATTGCTGGAGGTGCTATCCTGTATATGAGACATTAAACCAAGATCCAGTCAATCCTGTTCAGGTGGACATTAAAGATTCCATGGCACAATTCGGAAAAAGAAGGGAATTTCTCCCGGTGTCCAGGCCAACAAATTCCCCAAATAAAATTGATCACTCACTCCATGGCGGTTTGTGGGACATTGCTGTGCACAAAACTGGCTTCCACGTTTTGTTAGACAAAATACAGTCTATCCACTTTACAGTATATCCTGTGAAGCACTTTGAGACGTCTCAACGATGTGATAAGGCGCTATGTCAAATGCAAGGATTATTATTTATCTGAAGGTAACAGTTTGGTTTCTCGCTCTGTAAATCACACCTTATTCTTATGCGTCCCAGGTATGTGTCATGTTTTCTTCAGTCTCTGTGACACATAGCTGTGAAGAATTGATAATGCTGAAAGAGTAGACTCAATTATAAATCACTATCGGGAAAATAGGTCAATTGATCACTTTTCTCAGTGATGAGAGAGTTAATTCATGATCAGGTCGTCAAATGTAGATGATTTTAAATGGGAAGCTCTTTGGCAGTGCATTGCCACTCCACTTAGATTTATTAATTAATTGTGAACTGAGGAGCCAGGGGCATTCTCTTCACAATAAAATTGGTGGCTTAGAGAATGTTATTTGTTTCCATTTACTATACTGATATAATGCTTCTTGCCCCATTATTAGCTGAAGTGACGAGCAGTAACATCTTGCCTAAATATAGGAGTTGTTGCTTCCCCTATGGATTAGAGTGGGTTGGGGGTTATACCGTTCTGTGTACTCTAGATATACCATTAATCTCTTATACTCTGTCCGGTGCTTTCTAAAAGTTTGTCCCTGTGCACTTGTAAATAATGCAAATGCAATTTAATTTTGTACATTTAATTTCATGCCATTTATATTCTTAAATTGCATTGGAGTCATCTATAAATGCACAAGGAATAAATTTGCAAAGCTTGGTAAATAGAGAAAAGCATTTTTGACCACATCAATGAAGACACTTGCGTGGAGAATGGCCCACATGGTGTCATGAAGCAAATAGTACCTGTAAATCTACAGAAGGGTTCAAAGGGGAATTCAAGGTTTTAAGCTTGTGTCAATTAAAAGGATTCAACAATATTAGATTGAGCAATCGATGGAAGGCCATTCAGTCCATTATGTATGTGCTGGCTCTTTAACAACAACAACAAGATTGCATTTATAGAGCGCCTTTCACATCGGGAGGACGTCCCAAGGCGCTGAACAGTTGGGTCGGGACCCGAGCAGGGGGGAAATGGTCAGGGTGAGGGGAGGAAAGGGAGGGAGCGAGGAGAGGGTAGACAGTCGAGAGGAGAGCTGAAGGCACGGCTGAAGAGAAAGGTCTTGAGACCGGCCTTGAAGGAGGAAAGGGAGGAGGCGGCGAAGGCACTGGGGGATGGAGTTCCAAAGCCTAGGGGCTGAGAGGCTGAAGGCCCGACCACCGATGGTAGGGCGGTTGGGGCGGGGGATGTGGAGCAGACCGGAGCCAGAGGAACGGAGGGTACGGGCAGGTAGGTAGGGGGATAGTAGGTCGAGAGGTAGGAGGGTGCAAGGCCATGAATGGCCTTGTAGGTGAGGATGAGGATCCTGAATTTGATCCTCTGGGGGATGGGGAGCCAGTGGAGGCGAGTGAGGGTGGGAGTGATGTGGTCGCGAAGCCTGGTGCGGGACAGTACACGAGCTGCAGAGTTCTGAATGACCTGCAGCTTGTGAAGGGAGGTGCCGGGAAGACCGACGAGGAGAGACTTCTTGTAGTCCAGCCTTGAGGTGATAAAGGAGTGGACCAATGTTTCAACAATCTTTCAGTAACATTTGCTTTGAAGCAATTTTGTTGAAAATTCAATGGGTAGACGAGGAGGATCAATGCTCTATTTCTACTCAAATTATTACTGCGTAAATCTAGATGGAGAATATAGTGTAATATGCTGCCAGAGGTGTTTTATTCTATCCTGCTTGCTGTGCCTGTCCTTGAGGTTTATGCTGCTAAGAGGAGACACAAATTTCACAAATACTGATCTACGCTGGACTGTGGAATTGTTAGCAACTGATCTAAAAATGTGTGATTTTCAAAGATCTATCTGTTCAGGTTTGTTGTGTGATTACAATTTTAGTGGTTTGAATATTGTTTGCAATTAGGAAAATACTTGCCAACTATCTCTGGCAGCTTGATAGTTGTGTAATAGTTTTTTTCAATATCTCCCAGACCAGAAATAATAAGTGATAAGTTAAAATGTTCATATTGCCTTTTCTGGTTTACTTTTATGGTTATATTGGCCTGTTCTGTAGCTCATTGGTTAGAGCACTCACCTTGCAAGCAATAGGTGGGTTCGAATCCTGGGCAGGGCGAAATGTTGGGCAAGTTTCTTTATGTTTCGCCCACAAAATGTACAGTCAATTCACTTTACAGTATATCTTGTGAAGACATGATAAGGTGCTATATGAATGCAAGGGTTATTATTATAAAACATGAGAAATTACTTGTTTTTAGCCAAATAAAGACACTTTCATAATTACCAGACTTATTACTATTAGCAGAAATGGGTTCTCATCATGGACTATGATAATCATTCCACATTCCTGTGCTGCACAACAACCTTTAATTTTTTCTCTTATTCTTGGCAGCAATATCTTGTTTTTGTTGGGATGGTAGAAAATATTTTCACTGGTTAGATACCAGAGGGCCTCAATTTAAGATAGCTAGCAAAAGAGAAATGGGAGAGTTTAGGACATTTTTTTAACGTAACAAATAGTTAGGATATGGAATGCCCTACTGGTGTTTTGAGGCAGAATCCCTATTAGCTTTCAAATGGGAACTAGTTCGATAACTAAAAAGGAGTAAATTACAGATGTATGGAGCAAGGGCAGGCAAATGTTACTGAAAGGTTTGCTCTTAAAGAGCCAGCACAGACATAATGGACTGAATGGTCTTCTATTCTATAAATTTATGGTTCTACAATCTTTCTGATCTTTGAAGAATATCTGTCAAAACAGGAACCTCTGACTTAGACATATGGTTGCCTTGAGCAGACTCCTGCTTCTAAAGTGGTTTGTGAATTGTTGGTTAATGCGTTTGCTCTCATTGATATTTCTGTCATTGGCAAGGCTTCTTGGCAACACAGAGCTGAGGAGACCTTGGGCAAGGAAGACATCTTTCAGATGAATTGCCTCCTAATGCAATGGATTACCTAATGTCAGAAGCTGTTAAGGACATCACCCCTCACATAGTTATGTTACTGTATAAGACACAGTCTTGGGCTTTAGCCTCAGTTCTGTACGACTCTCCAGCCTTGGCTGGTGTCCTGAAGTGCCACTTGATATTGGCGCCACTCTTTCCCACAGACACCATCTGCTGTGGTTGAAATGCTTCGAGATCTTTAGTTTTTCCGGGGATCACATAACGCTGACATAAGTTGGACAGTTGAGCTCTTTTGAATTGCTTGGGGGTGGATGAAAATAAGGAAGTATTATCTTCAGACACTCTTTCTCAACTTCTGAGCAGTTGGAAGTGAGTGCTTCTAAACTTACAAGACATGATGTAGTCTTGGACTTACTCAATTTTAGTGTGTTTTCTATAATACACTATCTATTGTCAAGGGAGGTCTGAAGATCAAATCCCAGCAAATTCACTTTGTTTTGATATTCTATTTGGCATAATCCCAACACACACGAGGGATAAATGAATGAGAAAACCATGAGATTACCTACCTTTGCTGTTTTTTATTTTTTTGAATGCAGTTTATCCTCTGTACAAGTAGAGTCTATGCTTACACCACTGTTCTACTATGTAATTCAATGTAGTTTTTCTGTTGGATTTGCAGAGCTTGGACAGCAGTGTTTCCTTTGTTTAAAAAAAATGTCTCCATAACAATGGTGTACCATTGAGCTTATAAAGAACTGGAATCAATTTTCCAATTGGAGCTTTCTTGTTGTGTGGGATATGATTCCAGTTGACTGAATATGGGGTTTACCCAATGCTTGCGATGAATAGACTACATTCAAACAATAGAGACTACCAAACTTGGGTTGTTTCACTTTTTTCCCCTGTGAACAAGCACCCTGCAAATAGCCACCTGCTCACAAATCAAAAATATACTTGCATAAACAGAAGGTCGCTAGCTATTGTTTCCTTTTTAATTAGCTGTGACTCTCTGTATCTATATTTTGTAAGGATAACTGGTGGTATATCAAATGCATCCTCCTAATGTAATCAAAATATGAACAGTTAATAATTCCATGTCCATAAATTATGATAGGTTTCATACATGTACAATATTGAGGATTGGTGGAGTATTAAGGTGGTGGATTCAAAGGAAATATATTGAGAAAAAGAAGAAATTAAAGCAGTAAAATTAATACTCCTGTGGACGAGAATATGAAGGGTAGAGGCTTGAAGGGGTACTGGGATAAGGCAGGGCAGTGGGAGTGAATGAACATCTTGCTCTGAGAGTCAATGCAGACTTGTTGGGCCAAACAACCTCCTTCTTTGCTGTAAATTTCTGATTCTATATTTTAAGAAATGTCCTGCTTGTCAACCTGACTAGTAATGAAGAAACCTTACTTATCAGACTAATTCCTTTTTGTATGACTTACCAATGTTACATGTATGTATGTGACTTACAGGTTCGTATGGCACTGAGGAATGCCGAAAAGGAATTGGAGAGCCGAAGTGTCTGGGCATTGCCAGAAACTCTTCAGAAATGGTTACAACTTACCCATGAAGTAGAGATACAGTACTACAATATTAAGAAACAGAATGCAGAGCTACAGCTCAATGCAGTTAAAGAAGAGGTATGTATGCACTAGGCTATATATGGTGTTTCTCTAATTCTCTGAGCAAGTATTTGATGTAAACAGGGGATACAGTTCAAGATCCTGGTCCTCACCATCAAAGCCCGCCACGGTCTTGCTCCCCCCTACCTCTCCGATCTCCTAACCCCTATCAACCTGTTCGCTCCCTCCGACCAGCGGGCTCCAGCCTGCTTCACATCCCCCGCCTTGCTCTCCCCACTATGGGCGGGCCTTTCGCCACTCTGCCCCCACCCTCTGGAACTCCATCCCACAGTCCCTCCGTCTCGTCCCCTCCCTCGCCACCTTCAAAACCCACCTCAAGCCTCTCCTCCTCGACTGTGCTTTCGATCTCCCTGCTTCCGCCCCCTGCCCTCCACCCTCTCCCACCCTGACTCTCAGCTCAGATCCGTAACTCTGTCTGTGAAAGACGCTATATAAATGTAATTTTGTTGTTGTTGTAAAGTGAAACACCATTAACAACATTGTAAAATAGAACATACACATAATAATACACATAACTCCTCACTTCCAATACAGCTCAAGCCCTCATAATGACTTTGTCACCTCCAAACTTCCTTTCCAAAGCTCTCTTCGCTGGCCTCCTTGGCTCAAACTAGCACCTCCTGATCACCATGTACCAATCACCTCCATCCTTGCCAGACTTCCTGCCCACAGCAGATCCTAGATCCTCATTTTGGGCTTTAAATCTCTGCAACTTCTTGACCCATCCTACATAGAATCTTACCACACAGAAAGAGGCCATTCGGCCCGTTCTGCCTGTGCGCTACAACAACAACAACTTGGATTTATATAGCGCCCTCCACGCCGGACGGCGTCTCAGAGCGCTTTATAGTTTAGGATCCCAGGGCTGAGCCGGGGGGAAGGGTGGAAAGGTGACCAAAGGCGCAGTCGAAAAGAAAGGTCTTCAGCAGAGACCTGAAAATGGGGAGGGAGGGAGCGAGACGAAGGGAGCGAGGAAGGCAGTTCCAGAGCCTCAGGGCATAGTGGCTGAAAGCATGGCCGCCGAGGGTGGAGCGGAGGACTTGGGGGACAAGGAGGAGGCCAGACCCGGAGTAACGAAGGCAACGGGTACTGTGCTGAGGAGAGAGGAGGTCAGAGAGGTAGGGGGGTGCAGAGGAGTGCAGGGACTTGAGTACGAGGGTGAGGACTACTGACTTGCTACTGACTTGTCCCACTCCCCCGCTCTTCCCCATAGCCCTCCAAATGTTTCCTTTTCGATTACATATTCAATTCCCCTTTTGACAGCTACTATCAAATCTCCTTTCACCACCCTTTTAAAGTAGTGCATTCCAGATCGTAACAACTCTCTGGGTAAAAACAATTCTCCTCATCTCCCATTTATATCTGTAGCCTGTTCCCTCTGCTCCATAAACTTGGCCTGGCCCTTCCTCACCATTGGTGGCCAAGTTTTCAGCTACTATTTCCCACTTTGTTCAAGTTTACACTCTATCTGTGTGAAGTACTTCAAGACATTATCCTGTGTGAAAAGCACTATATACTTGTGAATTGTGTAAAACAGTGACAAACTATTTATTTCACAAATAAGGAAAAACTGTTAACTGCTGAATGATCAATTTATGAATAATTATGCCGATGTTTCTCACAAGTGAAACCATTTTGTTTTTGGTCTGAAAATGGAAGTGCTATCAATTTTATTTAATTTTAAAAAAATGATTAATGGGAATTGTTAAAATAACAGGCGAGTTTTAAACCTCTGCATTGTCATTCTCGATGTTTCTTGTCTGGCACTACTTTCTTAAACATACCTGAAGCAAGGACCAGATTTGGATGCACAGTCATCACAGCTGTTTCTTTCTACAATGAGGCACTGAGCCAATATAATTATTCAGCTGCTTCACATTGTGCAGAAAAGCAAAATAAATACGTGGCCAAATGTATAGCTGGGAACAGTGTGGGAAGAAAACTGCTCTTCCTGTTTGAGTTAATGATACAATTTTTATAAAGCATCCAATATGGCAGTAGTTCTGGTTTTGATATTGTGTTGTGCTAAATTTGTATTGAGTTTCAAAGTGTGAGTTAGTTAATTAGATATCATTAGATCATTTATAATATAAGCAGAAGTTGTGATGGGCAGATACACAAATGGGTAAGCCAGCACTATCTTAGAAATAGAATCATAGAATCCTACAGGACAGAAGGAGGCCATCCGGCCCATCGTACCTGTTCCGGCTCTTTGCTATACAAATGTAATTTTGTTGTTGTTGTTGAAAGAGCTATCCAACTAGTCTCACTCCCAATTAGAGCTATCCAAATAGTCCCAATAAAGGAGGGAGTATTTAAAATGTATTTAGATGTTTGTTTTCTGTATTAATGTGTGGTAGCAGTATTTAATAGCCTGGTTTTAAAAAAACCTGCCTGGTTGTGTAGGAGCAAAGTCGCTGTTGTAGAAAAGGTTCCATTCAATGGAATTGGAATGGCCTGAAACTAAATTTTAATCAGATTCTTAGATTTTTCATATTAACTTAGTTTTTCCAACGGTAATGTTGAGAATATCTGAAGACTGAAGTATTCCTGCCCTTAAATAACTGGATCCAAAGACAATCTTATTTCCATCTTCTCTTGGTACCCAATACCTGTTTTTTTTTCGAAAAAGAGCTCTCTCTCCCCTCCCTCTCAGACTTTGGTTGAGGAGGTTTGCTGTATTGGGTGGATTGCTAACATTTTGCTGCTGTTTCTAGGCAGAGAGAATCAAGAAAAAGCGTAACACCATATTTGGAACATTCCACGTGGCCCACAGTTCCTCCCTGGATGAGGTTGACCACAAAATTCTGTCAGCAAAGTAAGTGTCTAATTCATACACCTTGAGATACTGCATTTTGTGCATCCTTTTAAAAATTTGTAAGGCTCAGTTGGTTGGTGGAGATGCGATTCATTCGTTTTCTGACATTACTTTAAAAGTCCACACGTTGTGACTCTGGATTTCAGCCTGGCTCAGTTGGTAACACTCTTACCTGTAAATCAGAAGGTTGTGGGTTCAATCTCACCTCAGACTTCAAAATCAGGTAGTGTAATCCGACACTCAAATGCAGATCTTGTGGTGTGCTGCATTGTTAGAGGTGTCGTGTTTGAGACATTAAACTGACATTGCATCTGCCTGTTCAAGTAGATGCTGAAGATCCCATTCACTATTTAAAAAGAGAAGGGAATTTCTCCTGTTGTCTTGGTCAGCAATACTCCAACTAAAAAATTTAACTTTCACTTAATGGTTGTTTATAGGATATTGAGATGTTTGCCTACAAAATCCACATTGTAGTGACTTTGTAGTTTGTAGGCAAACGTGGCAATGTGAAGGGCTTTGTCATGTCTTCCCGATGTGAAAGATGCCATATCAAGAGGCGTAATTGATGTACAAATATTCTGATATTTTTATTTGATCAGCTTTGGAGATTAGAGGATATTTCCACAACCTGAAGAGTAGTAAGTGAAGTGACATTTGTTACTATCACCATTTGTCATATTCTATGAAACTACAAGTTGGTTGTACTACAGGACAGTAGAAGAGTGAATAAAAAAAGCTGATTTTCCAGATTACGTACTCAGGTGCCTGGTTTTATGTCGCTTTTGTTTCTAGAAATTTCAGCCTGAAATTGTTCACTGGGGAGACTAATAATGATGAGACCAGTTTGGAACAATTGTGTCTCACAAATGACTTTGTGATATTGTAGCCTTTTGAAGCTGGGTCCACATTGTTTTGATCATTTACATTTTAGTAATAATTGGTTTGATATAGAGATCTGTGTTAACATGTGCTCACAGAGCGTCGCTCCTGAAAAGCAATTTCAGAGGGAAAAGAATAGTTGCAATATTTTTGTTCTCTGTCACAATGAGCAAATTGAAGTCAATTCACATTGCCATTCATACATGGTTTGATTTTTTTTGGTGCTATTTCTGTAATACATTCTCGTATTATCTTTGCAGTGTCTCGTATGGCATTGTTAGTATCCAAGCATTTCAAGCTAATTCAAGCTAATTTGGATTTCTACAGTTTTGTGCTTTTTACATTAAAAATGCAATCAGCATAAATACATTTGCACCGTGTAAATTCAAATTAGCTGAGTGCAACTGGATGGTCACCATCAGTGCTGGAGAAATATTTAAAAACTTTAATCTCTGGTTTGAAAGTGAGGTCTCTTAAATTAATCCTACAAATTACTTCTTCATTCTTCAAAAAAACTCCAGAGGAAATACTGTATGTGCTATAAATATATATTGAATAAAATGAATATTTTGGTACAATTGAGGAGCTGGTTAAGAGAGTAAGGAAGAGCTGCAACAGGTCAGAAAGGATCTGACTAGAAATAATAAGAACTCCCGGAGCCTCGGCTCACACTCCAAGAGCTGCTGTGACATTGTGTCAAGAGAAATGCTATTGACGTTCCTGGGGGCACATTATTTCCGTTTTAAGTACCCCCCATTATAACAGGGTTTACGTGACATTGTTTCTCACGTAATCAGAACAGAAATTCTTTCAATTTGGAAGTTCACTGTTTTTATTTCCTCTGCGTCCTTTTTTTCAGACAAGCATTATCCGAAGTGACAGCCGCCTTGCGTGAACGGCTCCATCGCTGGCAGCACATCGAGAAAATTTGCGGCTTTCCTATAGCACAAAATGCAGGGATGCCGAGCCTAACCTCCACTCTGTATTCTGACCACAGTTGGGTGGTTATGCCACGTACCTCCGTGCCACCATATCCAATAGCTGGTGGAGTAGATGACTTGGATGAAGACACACCGCCAATCATTCCACAGTTTCACTGTGAGTAACTAATCCTTTTGCCTGATAGGAGTGAAAACAAGCAACTGAATGATTTCTTAGACCTTGACATTTCAATTCTGAACATCAGAGCTTCACATTCTATTGAAGAAACAGGATAGGGTCAGAAGACATAGGCTGTAGATTTCTACTCTGCTGCCCAGAGTCAATTCCTTGTCAATTGAACACCTGACAGTTACAGGACCATTTTACTTTCAGAAAATGTTCTGGAGAGGGGCGCTGCCATTTGAAGTTCAATGGTTGGTTAAAAGCTTTCTTATTCATTACTCAGAAATTAGAACATTGCTGCCCAGTAAGTAGCTTTGAACTGTCACTTAATGGCCTAAGTTGCAAATGTATTTCAAATCTAAATAGGAATTAATCAGAATCTGGAGTCAATAGTAGTACATCTTCTATTCTTTCACACTCACAAGACTAACTAGCCTACCACATTATCATTGGTTTAAGATCCTATTTTTTGATTTCTCTTTCATTTTAGACTGTTATATATGGATGCATTTAAGTGGATTTTTAGCAAGTTAAAAAAATAAATTACCTATTGCTTCCTTCTATTTCTCCCTCTTTCTCTCTCTCTCTCACAACGTACTATACAAATGGAACATACACATACAACAATGGAAATGCCGTGGAGATTAATAATTGATGCTCATCGTGTATTAAGACTTGATACTGATGTAGGAAGCGCCATTTTATGCATTTCTTCATTAAGCAGGTTGTCGCAGTCAGCAACCTGGATGAAATCCAAAGGGAAATTTCACACATGTGCTCGGCATATTTGAATATTGCACAATATCAAGATTTCAGCTCTGCATTATAGAACTTGTGCCTTAACTGCTAAACTACCAGTTTGACTAAATGGCATTTTAACAAAATTATTTAAGGATATTGGTAACTTGAGGTACTTTCTAGCCATTCAAACCCAATCCTCAGTTGGAGCCAAGGTTTACGTCGGGTACATAGTGTCTCCTACATTAATTACAATTTAAGTCCCAAGGTGCTTGTTTGTACCGAGGCGGCAGTCCTACTCCAATTTATTTTAACCCCTACGTGACTAAGCAGCATCACCAGAATTGCTGGCTGCAGCCAGACCTCCACATTTATACTGTATCAGCATCGATACCAGCAGCTTCACCTCGACATTCTGACAACCCAGGATCCTGCAGAATGTCAGAGCTTTAAACACCACTTCATCTGGATGGACACTAATCGCCTGGACCTCCGTGCTTACCAAGGTATAAATTTAGAGCTAAGTTCGACTTGCAACATCTGGAGTATAGAGCCATTGATGGGAAGGAGTGAAAAAGGACTCCGAGGCCCATCAATTTCACTCGCAGGAGAAGACCTCACTATTTCACAATATGCAGCTTACATACTCTGCTGGAGCCCTGATCATCTGCTGGAGGAATAGTTAAAACAAGGATTAGGCAATAGGAATTCTTCAATTTAGTCTTTCTATGTGCACAGGTTTGTAAGACATTTCTCCTTGTTACAGGTTTCTTTGTACCGTTAATACACACCTAATACACCCAATACACAAAAATAAAGAATTGGATTGGCAATGAGCTTTTGTACTGGTGTGTCAAAAGCACTTGCGGAGCAGCAATTTTCTCTATGTAAAAATTTTTAATTAGCTGTTAAAGACATTTCTCAATTTGAAGCTGAGCCACACCAGCCAAGACAGTGTCACATTTGATCCCAGTCTGTTTTAGTTAGATTTTCTTTGCCAGAGTAATGATATCAACAACAGTAACTTAATAATAATAATAATCCCTGCATTTGATATAGCACGTTGTCAAGTTGTTGACACGTCTCAAAGCACTTCACAGGATATACTGTAAAGTGGATTAACTGTGCTGTTTGTGGGCAAAACTTGTGTTGCGTCTTGGAGTGCTGAGCATATCATAGTTGACTGCAGTTCTCCTGGTCTAGGAAGTGGAAAAATCACCCAGTTTTTTACTCAATAACCCATTGCATGTCTACGGACATCAAATGACGAAAATCCTTTCACAGCTGCATATTCTGCTGATTCTCATTGCCTATGCTTGCAAGCAAAGGATAGCTGGTGCTGGTGGATACGTATCACAGCCTGAAACAGAGCAGTTCGGAGAAAAGGGCAAGTGAGAAAAATCTGAAAAAATATATACTTTTGAGTTCAGTAATGTTTTTTTTAATTTATTCTTAAGTTTCACAGATATACCACAGGTGTTGTACAGGGGTGTATAGGGCTGTGCAGCACTGTGCTGTGGGCTGCCACTTAGTTGTGGCAGGCTTCCATTCCTTAATAGAAACACAACTGTTTTCCTAATGCCTGAGCATTGCATTAAATCAATCTACACCCCTTCCCAGCCATTCACACTGCAGTGCAAAAGTTGTACCCGAGCAGATAGGACAGAATAAGTAAGTCATTTACCCAAAGGCTTATATTAATGATTGATTGAAATGCATAGCAGGGTTCCAATTACATTGTTTATATAAAACATGAGAAATGTAATTTTTGGTGAGATGTTACTTTAGTACAGTATAGTCTGATTTCTGTGTCCTGTAATTTAGTGGTTAGAGCACTTGCCTCGCAAGCAAGAGACCTGGGTTTGATTCCCAGCAGGGTGAAATGTTGGACAAGTTTCCTTACTCCACATGCCTCTGTTTACCCAGCAGTAATAGAAACCAGGTTGTGAGTTGAGCAGATCCTTTTCCGGGGGTAATAATCCCTCCAAAAAAATTAATAATAATTTGAGCACTCAATCCATGACTGCAGTACTGCAGCATTTCATCCACAAAATATACAGCCAATTCACTTTGCAGTGTGTTCTGTGAAGCTCTTTCAGATGCTTCAAAGGCATGATAAGGCACTATATCAAATGCAAAGATTATAAGGATTATTATTTGTATATTTTTGGAAATAACTGATCATATTAGCAATTTATCAGTTCAGTTAAGACCACCTGATCTGTCATTTATTGAGACAACAAACCATAGTTGATCAATGGCAATAGAATCGGGGAAAATGGAAACCAGTGTAGCTTCAGGTTCTTTCTAAGTTTTCATCCAAACCTCTAAATGGTTACTTTTCTACTTTTCTCTTCAGCAGCAACTTATAGTAAAGCTGCTTACAGCTTAGCAAAAAGCAGCAACCAGGGGCGCCTCCGCCGACCCAACGCGATGTCTTCTGCAGTTTCACTGTCCCAAACGTCCTCGCACTCCTCCACTCCTGACATCTTTACGATGAGCAGTTCGTCAACTCTCTTTCGCACCGAGGAAGAGGAGGAGGCCATATTCTTCACAGCTGACAAGAACTGGTAAGTGGATTGCTCTGGGTTGTAACCAATTGCAGTCAAACACAGTAACCACTTTCACTCATCCAGCGACTGTCACGTTGGATTCCATTACACTTCAAAACAAGGATGAGATTCATGTAGCAGGGAGTATAGAAAGTGGGGGTGTGAAGGTGTTGACTAAAGACAGTTGAAGAGATACTTCAATGTACATTTTAAAAGGATTCTGAAGGCAGAGAAAGAATAGACATGGAGAAAGGATTTTCAGATTTTCAGCTACAATGGTGACAGAAGAGAAATTGTGTAGTTTATTTGCAAGACCAGATTTCTATGTCTGAGTGTCTATGAATTTTAATGGTTCATCCAATTTAAACCAAAAGTTGATTCAATAAGTGTGGACCATTTTCTCACCTTTTGTTCAGAATATAAGTTGAAAAGTTTTTTTTTCCGCCTCTGCATTTCCATAACCTTGCAATGTGTTTTGATATATGAAGAATTGCATTGCACTTTTGAGTTGCCCTAGGAAATTATTTCATGAATTATAAATGTATCCAAGATGATTAACGAATTGCCTATAATAATTTTCTTTCATTGTTAATTACATGAATATGGATGGTAGTAATTCCCTCTGTGTACATACTTTTACACAGAACCACAGAAGTTTACAGCAAAGACAAAAGGCTATTCTGCCCATTGAGTCTTTCCTGGCTCTTTCAAAGAGCAATCCCTTCAGCCTCTTGTACCTGCCTTTCCCCTAACTCTATAGTTTACTCATTTGATATCTGTCTAAATTGGATGAACCATTAAAATTCATTAACACTCGGACATTGAAATTTGGTCATGCAACTAAAATTAGATGGTTTATCTTTTCCTCTCCCTCCTATACCCATTGTAAACTTTGACAACTGAAAATCCCTTCTACGTGTCTCTTCTCTACCGCCTTCAAAGTTCTCTTAAAGTCTAAATTTTGCTTAGTTCCCTTTTGATAGGTAATATGGATCCTGTCTCACCCATTGCTCCCAGCAGGGCATTTCATATCCTAAACACTCTGTGAAACGAATTCTCCTAACCTCCCCATTGGATTATTCGATAACTATCTTAAATTAATGCCCTCCAGTCAATGACTCACCACATGGTTAACCAAACTCTCACATTACACTTAACTGGTCAGTTGTACTCTTTTTTGATTAGCTGGGTGGAAAACCATAACTATATTAAAGAGTATCCAAAACAGACAGAGTTCCACACATGTATGTGACCTACACATGGAAATTTCTGTGTGTCTGAAACGGAATTTTCAATCTGTCCCTCCAGTAAAGCACAGTGTTTGCTTAATTCCAGAGAATATTAGGTGCACATGATGAGAGCCAAGGCTTGGGGACTCCAAAGTGTGGGTTTGCATAATACTGGAATTCAATCTAAAACCATAATCTAAAACCTCAATGCTATTGAGAGCATTGTCTGGCAACGCCACTCTATCCTTAGGTCTTTGGGTTACAGGGGTAAGGGGAGCCAAGTGGGACAAATTCCTTTTCCCAATCATCCAATTTCCATCTAACTCTGTGTGCCATGAAGTGTAGTGTTCTAACTTAGAAGCTAGAGGGTTTACATCATTGTATTTTGTATCTTTATACTTGCTAATTGGTTGTTTTGTGTTGTCCAGGGAGACGCATGAGGTAGCTTCAGACTGTGATTCCTCTTTTGGATCTCTGAGCGGCAAGAAATTGTCTCCCTTATCAAACTACGAGGCTCCCCTTGGCCCTCCAGGCAGTGCATTGAATGGTTCCGTCGATAACATATCTGTTGCTGATTCCACCGTGACCTACGAGCGGTCTACTGCAACACCTGATTCAATAGGCCCAGCAGATACCAAAAGCATGGTTGTGAGCCCCCTGTTGGCCAGCAAGCCCACCCGCAATGGCATTGAGAAATCTTACAGCATGGGACAGCTGTTGGGCACCCAGGATCGACGCATCTCAGAGAATTCCACACAGAGCGAGAATAGCACCGTGAGAGATCAGAAAAAGAGACAAACTGTGTCCCAGGACCTGCAGTATACTACAGACAAAATTAAAAAACCCTCCAAAATAAAAACTCTCTTTAAGAAGATAGCAAAGCAGCCAAAGCCAAAGAGTGCCAATGAGGAAGCCTGATTCATTGTAACATCTGTTTACGAGAGCTTCTAGACCTTGTGCAGAGGGCTACATTTTTCATTTACTTTTGACTGAGTTACAATTATGAAAAGTATGTTGCACTACTACCTTCTGTTTAGGGAGGGACCTCTATCAAGATTATGTACAATAAGATTTATAAAGAAACCACAGAAGATTCTGTGTTTCAGTTGTTACATGTAGAGCTTTGGTAGGATTTTTAAGGATCCCGATTTCTAATGGTTAATAAAAGGTGGGGATTTTTACGAGCAAGGAAGCAACATTTTTTTCCTGTCAGGATGAATTTTGTAATACTTTACAAAACCCTGCTGTATAGACTATAAATATGCCTGGCAGAGACTGAGCTTTTCAACCGTGACTTGCCTTTGAACTCTGAAGCCCTGCACTGCAGGCTGCAGCACATTTCTAGCAGTCTGCAAGTGGACACTAGCTATTCCCCTAACCTCACCAGGCAGTAGCAGGTGTACGACCTGATAAGGCGCTGAACTCCAGGTCAATATTTCTTACAGAAAATTGCCAGTGCAAAATTCTTCACCTGAATTGCAACAGACTCGGGGGTATTTTGGGGGTGTTCAGAACTTTATGAATGTATAAAAGAATAAAAAAAAGCATTATGATATCAAAATGACGACAACTTATTATTTCACTGGGCAGTGGTCTTCTCCATTTACAGGAGAGTGGCAGTCGGGGGCGGGAAGGGGGAAAGAGGGCAGTGTTTGTTCAACATTTTTCATTTTATAGGAAAACGATATGTATTTTAATGTATTTGTAAAAAATTGTTTATTACCCACAAGCCAAGTCTTTCTCCAGCTAGGCTATTCTGTTAACAGTGGTTTGGTAGTGACAATCACTGACTACAGTGGGATGGTCTGGGAGTGACACTGACTGACTACAGTGGGTTGGTCTGGGAGTGACACTGACTGACTACAATGGGATGGTTTGGGAGTGTCACTGACTGACTACAGTGGGTTGGTCTGGGAGTGACACTGACTGACTACAATGGGATGGTTTGGGAGTGTCACTGACTGACTAGGGCCTGAAGTCATCAGAGACCATTGAAGCTACCAGACAGGGTGAGTGTTTAATTCCAAACCTGCCAATAATGATGGACAGCATTGGATGACACTTGGTGATGTCACACTTTGTCACCAATTCTCACACTATATAATGCACTGAACGCGATGATGTACACTGTTGTGCGGAGGTGCTGTAAAATCACATAATTTATGGTGGAATATCTGATGTGCTCGACCACGATTTATTATTGTATTTATCATGTTGCACACTCAAGCATAGAAGTACATTGGAAGGTAGAATCCAAGGGGATTTGTGCCATTTTCAACAATTTGAAATATTTTCTCGGTATTTTTCCACCTAGTGGGCTGGTACTCTGGCAGCCCAGAACTTGAGTGACAGTATAGGGGCAGAAAAGATGAGTACATAAACAATTGGAATATTTATCCAACTCTACATAACGCTGTCATCCTGCCACCACATAAACTCTAGCTTTGAGTTCCGTACTGTGCAAGATCAAAGTTGGTATCAGCATTAGTCCAGGCACCAGTAAATGTCCGCCCACTTTATCCACATGTTTTCTTTTTTTTAATGTTCAGGTGAGCTGAAATTTGAAGCAATTTTGATTCTTAGACTTTGATTCCAACTGGTTTCAATGTCATAAAAGTTGCTGTAGTTTCTCACAATGAAATGAATGTAAACATGAAGATTCACAGTGAAACTAAATTGCTCAGATATTTTAATAATATAACAATAATAATCGTTGCATTTGATATAGTGCCATATCACGTATTCGAGACGTCTCAAAGTGCTTCACAGAATATACTGTAAAGTGAATTGACTGTATATTTTGTGGGTGAATCGCGGCATTCAATTGTGCACAGCAGTTTCCCACAAACAGTCGTGGATGGAGTGACCAAATTACTTTTATTTTTTTTCAAGGAATTATTATCACTGGAAAAGTGATCCGTGAATTGACTTAACGATCGGGTTCCTACTTACTGCTAGGTAAACTGATGTGTGTGGATTAAGGAAACTTTCGCCCTACCCGAGAATCAAACCTAGGTCCTTTCGCTTGCAAGGCGAGTGCTCTAACCACTAAGCTACAGGACTCCACTCCAATGTGATTTTTTNCTGATGTCTGCTGCATCTACTTTGGACATGTTGCTGAATAAAGGGTCAGTCAGTATTCTACAATGTGACTTTTGCCTTTACAATACAATACAAAATGAGGTTTGTATATTGCCTTTCATGTTGGGTGGATGTCCCTTTAAAGTGTATACAGAGCGTAATTGTTCAATGGAATAAGTTAAACAAGAATCTAAATGTTAGGAATTTAATATAATGAAAAGTAACAAAAAGATAGATACTTTTAGCAATCAACAATTTTCTTAATTTCCGGGAAACTTTTCTGGATCACATTCCTACGAATTAATGTCTTGTTTATTGTTCTTAGGTCACTTAAGAGTTTGACTGAGATGGTAGCCTCTGGGGTCGGAAGGTTAAGGGTTTTAACCCAACTGCAGGACTTGAACTCATAATCTAAACTAACACTCTAATTGCAGTGCAGACGGCAATGCTGTTTAGTAGACGTTTTTGTTCGGATGAGATGCTTGTTCTAGGAGATGTTGAAAGAAAATCTCACGGCACTATTTTGAAGAAAGCGGAGATCTCTCAGTATTCTTGTCAAATATTCTCCCCTTATCTGAACTCACCAAAAAACACATTAATCAGTCAGTCATCTCAAAATGTGTGGTATGTTGCCAGCACAGATTGATCACAATTGTCTACTTAATGAGTCCCTGACCTTCACAGTTGAGGTGCTTTGAGGCATTTTGATCTGTTACATTTTTATAATACCTTGTACGTAAGATACTGCAAAGCCCTTAACAGTAATTCCGGTCAAGTGTGTTAAGATATTTTTCGATGGAAAATTTTGAGTATAGCAAATTCCCCACAAACAGTCAGGCGATCAATTAATCTGGAAGTTTGTTGACCAGAGCACTGGGAGGAACACCCTTTTCAAAAAAAAAAGTATACGGTGGGGAAATAAATCCTTCAGTTATGCTTAAAAAAGTCATTATTTAAAATTTCAGTGAAGAACAAAGGTAATAGTTTGGAATCTTCCATTCTTTTAACAACAAATTCCTCTCCAATGCTTCATGCATTGAACATGTTTATGTTGCTCTTAAAGTATCCACTGTGAAGAAAACAGGGTAGCACATGTTGATTCCCCACCTTCAAATCCCGCCTAAAGACCTTCCTTTTTGATCGTGCTTACGGTCACCTTCCCTCCCCCCCCCTTCCCTCCCCCTGGCTTGGTGTCAGACTCCACCACTGTCAAGGGCTCCGGGATGTTACCCCAGGTGAAGGGTGCCATATAAATGCACGTTGTTGTTGATTCTGTGTGTTTTCCTGTCTTCGTTTCAACACCTGCCTAACCCAGCTGAGATCTGGAACTTACAGTCAAAGAAATAGTTGAGAAGAACCCACATCCCATCGCTCAATGGTGCCACACATCAGTGCACTAACAGTAATAGATTTTAAAAAAAAAACAATTTTAGGGAACACAGATGTAGTTAAAAGCAAAAAAAAAAGTCTTTACAACATCCAGCTTTCTCCTTTTGACGATTGGTTTCTTGCTGAGCAGTAGCAGCAGGTACAGAAAGCACTTTGCTTTTACACCATGAGAATACTCTGTAGCCCTCGATTCCTATTTCACAAGTGTACATTTGATGCCCAACAGTCGCACTGAGTGAACTAATTCAGGTAGCGGTTTTGAACTGTACACAGTTTAGTAACGTGCGAGATTGGATAATGGAACAGTGTATCTAGCACTGCAGTTGTACATTGATTTATTATATATTATGTATACAGTTACGTTTTTACACAGTACATTTTAAACCTATTCCTTTATTACTTGTTCTTAAGGTAGTCTGCCCATTAATCATTAGAGCTTTATATATTTTGGTGTGTTTCCTATTCATGGTTGAAGAAGGAGAGTGCTCAGCTCTTTTCTATTCTCTTCACCCCCCCCACCACCCCACCTCCGAACTCAGTTAACCTACAGTAATGGAATCACACGGTTACTGGGTCGCGTCTGTGCCAGCAGACTTTATGTAGCTCTTTTATCATGAAAAGCACTATAAGATGCAAATTGATTATTCTTCATTATTTGCAGTAAATTCTGTGAAGCACTTTGAGATGAACTGACAATGAACTTTATTGTTTTAAATGCAAGGATTATTCTTTATTTACCAAGTACTGTGCAGACTTAGAGTTGGAGGGTTAAGCGCTAAAATAAATGAAGATATAGTTGTCTGTACCAAAGTACTGTAGGGGGACTTCTGCAAGATATTATGAACTACAATACTGAAAACTGGAAAATACCTAATGTAATTCCAATTAAAATTCTGCACGATGTTCTCAGGAATTATGGACCAACCACTTGGCTAATTAGCTTAATAACTGTAAAGGAAGACTAATGAAATCTATTATGAAGGAAGTCATTTAAGAGTAGGAGCAATTTAGGAAGAAGGGTAATAGAATTAATGCAGGTTCACATAAAGCAGGTTATGCTTGTCAAAGTTGAAATGATTTGAGGATGTAACTCAGTTAGTGAAGGAAGTTAAGATAGCTGATCTATATCCTGATTTTTTGAACCTACTCGATGAAGTTCAGTTATGTGACGTTTATATCTATGAGATCATGGAAGAAGTCATAAATTGAAACATTTTGTTCTCTGGATGAAATGTCAAGCTGATCTCCCATCTACTTGTTCAGGTGGACATTAAAGTCCAAAGGCATTACTTCAGAGGATCAGAGTTTTCTGGGTGCCTTGGCAAATATTGTTGCCTGTATTTGACAAGAGGACAATAGTCACTGATATTCAAAAATAAACTTGTGCAAAGTGGAACTTTCAATGTGATATTGTACTAAATCAAGTAAGTATTGTAAAGGGTGGAATGCTCTGCCCCAGAATGCTGTAAATGTTGAATCAATAGGGGTGTTTAAAAAAGAGATAGACAGATACATAAGTACTGGAGATGTATTGGGGTGAGCTGGGTGTCTGACACATGCAGAAACCCATCACCGAGCTTAAGAGTATCCAAACCAAACTGAGAGTTCCATGCATCCAACCTATACATGGCAATTCCCGAGATATTCATTAGAATGGAATGCACATTTTCTCCCTGAAGGGACTCATCCTGCTTACCTATTTGTGGAGAATATTGGGCGAAGGTTGGCAAGAGCCAGGGCTTGGGGACCCTGAGTTTTGGGATACTGCTGGAGTCTAACCAGCTAAAACCGCACAACTTGCCATTGATATTGCTGTCTGGCAAGTTTTCCCATTGCTTGTCCAGCTAGGACCACCCTACTCTTTGGCTTGTAGGGTTAACGGGAGCTGAGTGGGATCACTCCCTTCCCCCAGTGACAGGTCTGCCCTTCCAGGTTCTGCCAATGAGCCAGCTGGCTGTGCTGTCATCGACAGTGCCCTCTAACACTGCAGACCTACCCAGCTCAGAAATCGTACTATCCAGATCGCAACTGAGATTTGGCTCGAGATTCCATTGCCACACATGTCACCTGGAGCCAGTTCAACTTCAAGAC